TTCAAAACTCTGTACTTCTGATTATCCTTAGCCAATTAAGAATCAAGATCTAAACAGTGTAAATCATCTCTTCATGATGTGGAACAAGGACAACCTAGTTGGCCTATTTTCGTTGGGATATGAGTTGATTAACCACAATAGATTTACAAAGAGGTTGGTTTGAGGGTGACGATTTTCTGTTCTGAAGGTTCGTCACGTTTCTCAATTTCCCGTTCATGATTAATTTTGATAAATGTCACAGAATCATATCCAGATGTTGTTGTTTTTTAATGAAAATTTCTTTTTACGCCCAGCTGTGTGTAACCTTAATACAAAAGGTTGTAATAATATTGGCTTATCTCTGGTTAGTTTATGGAATATCCCCTTGCACAGCAAGGGTCTATAACAATGCGAGCAGATTCGGTGATTATTATGCAAAACAAGACCGCGTCTTGACCTCGAGATCCTGACCATTCAGCGGGCACCTTATATCGGGTCTTTGGTAACCAGTTGTTGTATTACAAAAACATGGCAGCCAAATTGACAAATCAAAAGCTTAGTCCACATTTCTGATCGAAATGACGTGACAATTTGTAAAGTCGACTCCGATTGGCTGGTGCGCGGGTTGCATAAAATTTGCATTTTCAAAATTTGTGGAAGCATCGGTCATGGCTTTAAACCGAACAACCAAAATGCTGTCACAACAATGTATAGGCAGTACATCAAGCGTGCTTAAAGGTATCGATGTTGAATCAATGTTTAGGCATGTGTCGTAATAATGTGGAAAACAAAATGCTGTCATCGATATGAAGACATTATCTGGCATGATATCATCATACGCACGCCAGATGTCAAGCTCTTCACCTAACACAACCCAGATCATCATCATGTCCTTTAACTGACTCGGGCGAGTGGACACCATCGATCTTCGATTCGCCGTTTGGAGTGGGGGCCGTGCGCTCGCATCCAGGTACTCGCTAGTTCTCTTGACATGAAACATTAGACTGTTCTCGGGCAGCAAAAATGCACATATAGTCCCACGGCAGTATACAGAGTGAATTCAAGAACTCACTCAGTGTCTGCAGTAGACAAAAGTTTGATTTTATGGGTTCGTGCTTGCTTGAATTCATTTCAAATCTCACAGACTGAAATGTTGCCTTACATATGATTTTAAGTAAACCCATAAGCGTTTATTTGAGTTATGCGGAATCTTGCTTAAATATAACCATGCTCGATTTAACAAGACTGCACAGTGTCACCCCTGGGGGAGGGGGGCACCTCGGGGGGCTTAAGCCCCCCCCCCCCCCCCCAGGTTGTAACTTTCTTTTCTTTTTTTAATTTTTTCTTTTTAGTCCCACGATTTGACCGTGGTGATATGTATGTGGCTTAGTTTCGAGTAGTATAATAAGGGTGTAAATGGCGCCACCATCGTCAAAATAGTCCGTCTCCCCCCTAAACAGAATTATATTTTCTGCGGCCAAACATTGTGGGCAACATTTTTTTTTTTAAATTCAAACTTCTAAAACAAATTGTGAGCCCCCCCCCCCCAGCCAAATCCTGGGGTGCGCCACTAATGCATAAGTTTTGGCTTTTTCAAAGACCCTAAAAGAGCCCATTTTTAAAGCTGTCCATAGAATGCCATTGGAAGCTATTGAGTTTAGTGAGAATTACAGATTACACACAAGCATTCAAAAACAATGAGATTTTAATAACTGAAATCAAGACAGAAACCTTAATTTTGCTATCAGATTTTGTGTTTTGAATATGAGGAACAAGTCCAGTATCCCCCCCCCCCCCCGAAATACTGATGACGATTTTTGTATGTTTACCTCTGCAAGTTTTCGTTCATTCGTCGAGGTGGGAAAACGTACATGTTTTTTATTGAAATTTACATAACATGAGAATAGAGTATGCAAATTACGTGAAATGTTCACAGTTAAAGGTCCATAATATGTACTTTATTCGTAGTTTTTCCCTATGAAATGGAGCAAGCCAAATATTTTAAAAATGTTTTTGAAATTCGGTCGCTTTCTTTTAGACTCACCTTGTATAATAGGCAGTTCCGCTGATGTAGATAGGCATTTGAAACTCATTTTGACTAATAAATCAATTATGTTGATCGACCTTGCCATTAAAATGACATACGACGGACCGTTGATGGTGCACGACGCAATATAAAAAAAAACCTTGTCAGTGGTTTTGTCGAGAAAATTGAGTTACTGTTCATCTCCTTTGGCAGCGCATCAAATTAAATTTGCGTGCACTTGTCATTTTGAAGTTGAACATAAACGCGTGTGTGGATTTAGTCCCATTACTGCTGCACGCGCGCCTATGACTGTGACGTTAATTCATATCAAATTGTAAGGATTGAAAATGTTTTAAGAATTTCTACAAAAAACACCTTGTCTCAAATTCTCTAAGGTAGCTCCTTCTCTTTTTATCATTCTAATTTTTCATCCTCTTTTTCTTCTGAGAGTTTCAAGTATTTCAACTTCTAGTTTTCAATACATCCCAGTCCGTTGGTTCGTTTTTGTTTTGTTCGTTTGGTCTGTCCTGTTCCGTTCTCTGTCTTTACTGTACAATCTGTTTCAACTTCTGTTTTATCCAATTTTTGTCTTAAAAAGGCTTTTCTTTATGAGACATTATCTTTTGAATATGCCTCCATAATTGCCTGTCTTTCATTTGTGTCTTACATAATTGTTATTCCTGTATTTTATCAAGTATCTTTCGTATAATGACATTCTGTATAATTACTTGAATGTACATTTTTGCAATATGGAAATAAATGTTGAGATGAATTGAATTGGATCGAAAATAAATGAAAACATCAAACTTAAAAGGCTAATAACTCTAAATAATGGCAAGCTTTCTTGTAGTTATTTTCGGAAATAAAGGAATGATTTCTCAGCTTTTCTATTCTCTGATTGAAAGCAACTTCAAATTGGCAGTTGCTTTTCAGTAATAATGCAATAATGGTTTTCGAACTCTTTATTACAACTATAAATGTACACGCAGATGTCATTTTGTCCAGTCTTATTTAATATGTGCATTATTTGATAAAAAATATTGCCGTCTCTCTTTTTTTTCCTGCCACTTGTCTCAATCATGTCACTTTACTTTTCATCCTGTCGTCATCACCTAAGTGTTTTAATTTAATTTTATTAGTAAGCTCCATTGCCATTTGTATATCCCATGTGTCCTTTCTCTATGCCTTGAGAGATCTCCGCGGACGTGAAATTCCACCGAGCGCCGATGAGCGTTCAAGGCGGGGCTCCCGCGGCGTAACCCCCGGGGCGCCTACCTCGCCGCTGCGAGGGTCAGACGGCCGAACCACGGACATCCAGCTGGGAGTGAATTAGTAGTAAAAACCACCCGAATGTAAATGGCAGGTCAATTTGGAGTCACGTTGCTGACAGAACCTTTCACGCCTCGTTCTCTTCTATCATTACTTTTTTTTCGTCAATGGCGTTTAAATTTACCACTGAAATTGACAAATCCTTTATCATGTCTTGACGATACCTGATCACAATGAAAATGGGCACTTTATGTTAATTTGGAAAAAAAATTCTCAGATAGGAAAAAATCTAAAAAATATAAAAGTGTTATTCAAAAACGTAAATACCACGTGCCCACTACGACTGTAATTTATACCAGTCATCTTTTTGAGGTAAAGAATGATCGAAGTGCATCAATTTTCATTAACCCAATTGAAAAGACATTATCAACATTGAAAAAAAACAACTTCTTTATTAGTTACTTATATTTCTTTGGAAGCAAAGCCGGATGACATACGGCGGTTTTCCTTCATCTCTTTTTTTTTTTTGCATCCAACTTTTCCAACCTTTTCGAAAATGTTTTAAAATTGTGGATAGATCGGCCCTATTTTGCCATACACCACACCCAACGGACATCAGGCCGCATGAATTCAAATGTGTAATTAAATTCACCCGAAAGTAAAAAAAAAACACCGATCACCAACTTTTTTAAACATGATACCTTATCTCGCAGACACATGCAATGAGTTAAGTTACTGCCTTATATGCAGTAAAGAAAACGAATTAGAAAAAAAAATAATTTTAGAAATATGTGGCTTGCGCTCCATTTCATTAAAAAAACATAGGGATAAAGTAAATATTATTGACTGGTAACTGTGAATATTTCACGTAATTTGCATACTCTATTCCCAAGTTATGTCTATTTTAATAAAAAGATCACAAAATTCAGCTGTCCGCCACTGATCATTTACCGTTCTACGAACTGATGAATACCCATTAAATACAATGAAACATGGACGTTTTCCCACCTCCATGAATAAATGAAAACTTGCAAAGGAAAACAGACAAAAATTGCCATCAATGTGTCAGAAAAAACAAAACGTTGGACTTGTTCCTCATATTCAAAACACAAAATGTGACAGTCAAAATACTGTTTCAGTCTTTAATAACTCGACTGATTAAAATCTCGTTTGTATGTGAATGCCTGTGTGTAATCTGAAATTCTCACTCAGCTTAATAGCTTACAATGGCATTCCATGGACAGCTGTAAAAAAAGGTGTTTTCTTTAGTGAAACATGCATAACTTCTGACAGCATGGCTCAATCTTAAGTAATTCTTTTCTTCAGAAAAGGCATGCTCTTTTAAGACATACTTCATTGGATTTGATTGCTTTTAATTCAGGAACAAAAATCAGGTCACTTTCTTTCTGACTCACCCACCCTGTGCATGAGAGGTAGGCCTACTACGCATCCATGCAAATGCTGGTCGTTTCATTATACGATAAACTGCAATTTACGTCTTTGAACCACAAATTTAAGGCAAACAAATTCACTCACAAACCCAACCAGAACAAATACCTGTCGCATACACTTCTTTCCTTCTTTCTGAGCAAAAAGGCTTTGGAATGTAATGAACGAACGATAATTTAGGTAAGATGAAACCTGATTATTTTAACATCGATTTTATTCACTTAACAAAAGGCCTTTGCATTGTGCCTTTTTGCCGAGCATTTATGTCACAACTTACCTTAAAATTTGGAGTAAGGATATTCATCGCCCCTTAAGTTGCGTGTCATCTGGTGAAAACCGCACTGAACAATGACGCTCCACTGCAATACACCAAAATAAAGATTCAGGAAGAGCGTTGCAGCCGCCACAGTCGGAGGTACAAATTGCGCCTTTTGATTTCAACAAATCAACAACAACCGAGTTTCCGTCAATCGCAGAACATCTCCGATTCTGTCAGTGGCATGTCCCGTGAAAATCCTGGCATAAGGAGAAATGATAGATGCGTTGTGTGTGTGCTCAACGATATTTTCTTCGTGAAGGCATCCGGCATCGTAGAAGTGTTCTGGAGTGACAGTAAATACGCTGCTCCGTCATTGGCTGTAAAGTGTTCACTGGCTCTGTGCGCAGAGATGTTCAGTGCAATGAAATATTCACGCCGGCGCAGTTACTACCGACATCCAACCTATCCGACCACCGACCTGCATCGTCCACAAGCGTGCAAGCTGCCTAGCCTATACACGATACTGGCTTGTGAAATCTATCTCATTTGGGAATTTGACCAGGGGCAAAACTATATATTATAAATCTGAGGTGTAGTTTCACTGGTTCTGGGTCCCTATATCTTTAGCCAGCAAGGGCGGATCGGGGGGGGGGGGGACGGGGGCCATGCCCCCCCCCCCAAAAAAAAACACCGACCCCAATTTTTGTTTTTAAGTGACGTCGCCAATAAGGCGGGCACTGCGTACACCACCATCTTTTCCTCAAAATAATTTGGTAAAAAGTGGTCAGAAATTGCCTCAGGTCGCACCACAGAGCATTAAGAATCCAGAAATTTTTCGGGGCCCGAACCCCTCGCCGTAATTTTGTGGACCCACTTTTTAGGGGCCAAATTTAGGAGGCGGGAACCAGTCCAAAACTCAGTTTTGGGAGACTCTGAAAAGTTTAGGGCCCCCCCCCCCCCCTAAAAAAACAGATTACACACTTCAGGGGCTAATCCAGCTTTGACTGGGGGGGGGGGGGGTTGTAGCTGTCGAGGGGCGGGGGGAGGAGGAGGTGTTAACGGGCATGGGCTACTAATTTCCTTCTTGCAGGCCCCGGAAAAGGGTGGTTAAACCCCCTGTAGGGCCCTTTTTTTTACCAGGCAAAATTTCATACAAATTAAACTGCTTGTAACCTGCTGAAGATTTTTGCTTTGCGAAAAAAAAATCTTCGATTTTTTTTGTCTGCTTTTCTAGCCTAATAAAAATGGGGCAAGTTCTTCTCAAAGTCAACGAATGAACTGTCAAGTTTATGTGGGCCGAAGTACGGCACATAGAGCAAAAATAATTATAACTTACCTTGATATCAAGGTAGTAAATGCCTTAGCTTTTGAGTATGGTATGCCTAATCAATCTAATTTAATTAATTCGGACGTTAATGAAATGCAGATGCGCCGCTGGGTAGTTGTATTAAATGTATTGGGAGACATTACGATCCGCATTATCCGCCAGCAACGCATGGTTCGATATCTTCGAAGGATACATACAAAATAATCGATTTGTGCACATCTGGTCCATGTGGCGTTCCTACATGTCCTATTGGGTTGGGGGGGGGGGGGGGGTTGACTTATTTTGACAATAGAGGGCGCCCATTTTCTTATCAATTTATTCACATTTCATAAAGGCGTGCGATTTAAGGGAAGTCAAATATAGTGATGTAGATTCCTCTTCGTTTTAATAACTCACAACTTTTATTCAAAAAAGACACTTTTGCAAGTGGCAAATTTAACATTTTTTGTTAAGGGTTTTAGTTCAGATTGTGAACCCAAAAATGTGCTCATTGAAAACATTTATGAGAAACGTTTGCTCATTGGCTTGCTGCCATGACGCTGAAGTTGTGTTTACATTTTTGCAAAATCAACTTTTTTAGCAACTGTGCTCGCGTAAGAAACAAGCAAACAAAGACCAAATAGTGTTGTCTTCAAAAACATTGGAATTTATTACTCAGAAACAAATTCACTTTTTACATGATATCATTTCATTTAACTTATGATAGAAAAAAAAAAGTTCTAACAAAAAAGCTGCAAATAATGGTATCATTCCTTGGACAATTCTTTGAAAACGAGGTATATACTATAATTTCTCATAAATTGTTCTGCGCATGCAGTATCCTGCTATGGCGAAATATACTGTTCCTGGAAACACCTTTTCAAGAATGCGTTACACACAAATTACATAAGACATCTGCACTAGAAAGCAGGAGGTCGTGGGTTCGAGTCCCACCCGAGTGATTTTTTCCAACTTTCACTCGGGAGGTAACACACTGAGTTCAATGTATACAGTGTTTATACGTCGGTGAAGGGCAAAGCCTAATTTGACATATTACTTGAGTTTTACATCTAAAGAAAAATTAAACTAACGACTTCTTTGCCAGTTTGTTTATTACAACTTCCTTCGAAACTCGATTTTGTAAAATTCCATTTCAAAGGTCTTTCTCATTAATGAGCTATAGTTCTAGTCCTACTTTTGAAGGAAAAATAGTATAATTTTTTGGAGGGAGTTTAGAGTTGGTGGTTGCATTTTGTACAGCACAGACCATAAATTCTATAACCTGTTGAAGGAAAGCAGTCAATGTTTGTGTATATAATTCTAGCTTTATGCTGAAAAAGAAAATGGCAAGGCAGAACCAGAATTTAAAATATTATTATTATTTTTTTTTTTTTTGAGATGTGGATTATCTCCATATGCTTACATGTCACTTCCTGTTTTTTGTGTGTTAAACCAGCCAATTGCAAACATACATTCTGTGCCAAGTTGTCCTTGCAGTCAAAATCAATCAAGTGACTGTTTCAACCCTTTAAGAATTCCCAGCCCACATAAAGCAGGATTGACTGGCTGGGACTGCTTAAGTAACTTGATACAGCTATGCTTTGGCTCCCCGTGACTGATAAAACAGCTGTGACCACAACTTGCCTGGTTTGTCCGTTGACCCAGTTTGACTAGTCCCAGTGCTTGCTTGACATATGATCTGACTGCTGGTGACTAGCCTTTGTTAAAAGTATGTACTACATTGTATTACATTGTATTTATTTACTGGAAAATATATCAAAACCATAGAATGCTGGGGCTACAGAGAGCAACAGGCAGGGCGGTTTTGGGCCGTACAGTGACTAAAGGTTCAACATGACTTGAAAGGTCTCCAGAAGTTTAAAACTTATACAATGGTGACAGAAAAGAGGATGATTCTGACTGAGTCTCATTTCATGAGAGCAGGACGCACAATCTCTTAGAATGGTTATCTGTGGTCTCGGAACATTTTCACAAAAAGCAGAGAAGTTGAATTTCCATTTTTTTTTAGTTGATTCGTCTCAGTTTTTGCTGTCGGTGTTGCCGCTGTCGCTAGTAGAGGACGAAGATTCTGACGGAATTTTCTCAACGTCACTCACCGTGGGTGCTGATTGCGCCTGATTTTCAACAGAGAGAAATGACAATTCTCAGTTGTTTTTTTTTACATATTGCAGCGGAAAACCCATTAAAAAAAAAATCTCAACAAAAACATAAAAAGTGGCAATCAAGGCAGCGGCATATAGTACAAGTTCAAATTTATCAAATTCCATGAACAATTAGAATAATATGTATTTGCCTTTCCGCCCGTTTAAGAGTTGGGCCAAACCAAATTGCTCTCATGATTTTTAAGTAAGTACATGACAAGGTGGGCATTTGGAACAGTGTCTACTTCGAAAGATTAACTGGTGCTCTCGGCCCGACTACATCTTGAATTTGAAGATCATTGAAGTCAATAGAAAATTTATGCATTATTTTAACTGGTCTGATATAAAAGAATTATTTGGGTCGACCTGAGTCACTCCAAATACTTTTCAGTTTGAAATCTGGGAGTCAGGTTGACGTAGCGGTACTTTCCTCGCCTTTTACCCCTGTGACCCGGGTTCGAATCCCGCCTGGGCCAATATGTAGATTGGGTTTTCAGTCCCTGCCTGATTCCATGGGATTTCCCTACAATATCATTCTGGGGTTTTTCCTCCCACCACTAAAACTGTAATTTCCTTCCACATCTTCTACCAACAGACCCCACTGGAAATAAGTTGAGAGAATTTAGTGGGCCATCCCAGCACTTGCCGAAAAATTACAAACAAACATCCAGTCCGAAACAGCTGTTACACGATGGTGGAAAACCAATACAAAAGGTAGAAGATTCAGAAGAGGAGCCTAAAAAGGTATCGGTCGAGACAGCAACATAAGGAGTTCAAAGTAATCCTATTTCCTGACTTATTAAAGATAAATAAAATTGCTACATAACTATATAGTATATACCTGCTCCTTGTTATCCTTACTGTCCTCTTTTTGTTTGTCTTCCGATGCTTCCTGTGATTCCGTTGATGTAGAAGACACTTCACCGTCTGGACAACAGAAAAAAAATGGAACAAATTTTTTTTTGTAAATTTGCCTTTTTTTGTATAAGCAAAGAACTATCTGAGTTTTCAAACGAGCAGAGAATACCAGATCTCCAAAATGGTCAACTCTCTGCAAAATAAAGTTGTCCTAGCCCGCGAACTCTACCTTCTAATGGACTGTTTGTGTGAGCAGTAGATGGGAATGCTTGGAAGTTCTTGGGTAGGGGTGCCAATATTCCCAAGGTTGGATTTGACTAATCTTGTTGATAGCGCCCTCTACGGTGACAATGGCTTGACTAATTTCTCAGGATTGGGATCGGCTGAACTTGAAGAACAAAATTAAACTCCAGTCTTGAACAAAGTAAGTCAGTCTGACCAAACCAATGTGGCCCATTAGGCCGGCGTTTATCTCCGGTTTCCTTGGTGTGAAAGACTGAGAATATTTCTACTCCCCCTGGATGGGATGCCAGTCCATCTCAGGTTACTCCCAGCTAATGCTGGCACCCATTTGTATGCCTGGGTGGAGAGAGGCATGTGAGGGTGAAGTGGCTTGCCCAAGGACACAACATATGACCAGCAGCTGCATTCGAACCCTGACCCTCTGATCATGAGTCACGAACCCTAACCACTAGGCCACACTCCCCTACCGTTACTCCCCAGCTAATGCAGATACCCATTTATACTCCTGGGTGGAGAGAGGCAAGTTGGGGTGAAGTGGCTTGCCCAAGGACACAACATATGGCCAGCAGCTGGATTCGAACCCCTGACCCTCTGATCATGAGTCACAAACCCTAACCACTAGGCCACACTCCCCTACCGTTACTCCCCAGCTAATGCCGGTACCCATTTATACTCCTGGGTGGCGAGAGGCAAGTGGGGATGAAGTGGCTTGCCCAAGGACACAACATATGGTCAGCAGCTGGATTCGAAACCCTGACCCTCTGATCATGAGTCACGAACCTAACCACCAGGCCGCACTCCCCCACCATTAGTCTTGAAGCAAGACTGATACTGACCTTGTTGGGTTTGTTTTCTCAGTTCGGCCTGGCACTCCTCGAAGACGGCCTTGAAGCGCTGGGTGGTTCCGGCCAGTTTGAACCGGACGGCCAGCTGCTCCATCTGTGGGTCGCCGTCCGCCGCGTCCATGGCCTGCCACACCAGGGAGTTCTCTGAACTAGCGTTGGGTGCCAAACTCATCTCCTTGGTGATGTAGTGGTTGGCACAGACCTAACGGAAGGACAACACACCACAAATAAAACTTGTGAATTTTGTGGTCAATCATAAGATCAAACGTTTCAGTCATTTGGAATATCTATAAAGCATAGTCAATGGATATTTACTACATAAAGTTTGACTTTCAGAAACCAACATTCATTTGCGTCGACGTGAGTTGCACTTTATAGTACAGTGGAATGCCGCTATACTGAACACTCGGCTATACCGAACATCGTCCTTGGCTACCGATTTTTTGTACAAAACATGCCGAGCATTATAGTTGAAAAATGTCAACAGAAGGGCGAAGAGTGGCTATTATTTCCTCAAGGAATAGCAGGGGAAAGCCACCCATTACTGTAGGTAATAAGCTCAAAAACTGTGTAATTACATGATTCAATAGTCGGCACGTGTTCAAAGTCGCCTTTTAGTAACTATCAGGGTGTTCAGGGTGAAGTTCTGAAGCGCGCTACTTATTGAAAAGTGAGTACCGGAGCACTGGTAGCTTAAAATCGCTATACCAAACAATCGCTATTACGAACTATTTATGTGGATTCCACGATGTTCATTATAGCGGCGTTCCACTGTACTTGGTATAATTAGGCGATAGCAATTTTCTGAGGTGGTACTGCAGTGGCACTGGGCGTGCTCAGGTAGTAGGCACGCACTCCAGCTCCACCAATAGTGCTACCAAAATGTGCGCGTGCCTTGTCTATAAGATCGCGTGCGGCGTGCGCGCGAGCGGGGGCACCACCTCAAAAATGGCGCCACTCCGGAAGATATGTCTGAAATTGGTGTTACATGATATTTTGACTCACCCTGAAGACCTGGTCCCTTCTCATGATGATGCGGTACTTTGTCGCCTGGGTGTTATGAAGAATCTTGATGTCTCCGATACCGCGGTCCTTCCACTGAGTTGTGGCTTTGTCGTAGCGGTACAGCTTTGCCCTTGAGCAGAAGAGTTGGCTCTCGTCTTCCTCTCCGGTAACTTTCTCCACCTTCCATAAAAAAAGAAATCCCTGAAATTTCTAAACCAAGCATAAAAAACTTGCTAGTTTGGGCATCTCCAAAGCCCTTTAAAAAAAATGACACGTATTTGGTGATATTTATTTGGTACTCTAATGCACAAAGAAATCCATCTAAACTATTTTTGTGCCTCAAAAATATTTTCAAAATTAGTAAAAACAAAATGTTCCATGTTTTATTCATAAAAGAATAGCTTCTGAACCACTAGAAAAATGCAAGTTTAAAAACAACTTTTGGAGCAAAACGCAGACCAAGGTTGCTCTTTGGCTTAATGCCAAGTACCGACGCAACGAGGAATCACCAAAGAACAGAAACTGGACGACAGCAAAATATCCAAAATTCTGGCAACCTTCGGCGCTGAAAGAGCTGTAAGGTTTTTGCCTGAAATGACATTACACTGATGTTGCTCATGAATGGGGAAATTCACATAAGTATAAAAAAAAGGGCATCAAAATACCCTTGGAAATGGCAATTTGTTTTTGAAAATTAAGGTTAAATGGGATACCAAGGTGCATTTTCATAAAAAAATGTTCACAAAAGTCACAACCGACCTGCTCAGGGAGATGGGCCACCGGTTCAAAGTGGATATCGTCACGCTCCTCTGAGACGCTGTCATCCTTGCTTCCCGCTCCTACTGTTGCATCCTCCTCCTCCTTGCTGACGGAGTCTGTTGTCGAAGTGGGCGTGGCCTCTTCGGCCTCTGGCTTCTGGGCGTGGCTGGCATTGGCGCTGCGCAGGAGCTCCGAGAAGGCCTTGGAGATGTTGGGATCGCAGGATTTGACAGGGGGTACGTCAGGATCACCCGCTAAGACAATTCCAACGGATAAAAAAAGACAAGTGACTTCGACAGAGTTAAAAGAGGAAGTCATGCCAAAACCTTTCGGGCATGATATTCGACCCTTGGAAAAAGTACAAACATTTTATGGAGTCATCCTAAGGGGCCACCTACATAGTGAAGGCTTCCACACCCGCAGCGTCCTTTTAGGGTTGAAGGTCGTTAAAGGGAATATTCAACATTTGCTTTTGCTGTAATTTTCAGATATGGATGGATTTGGGGGTTAGTATTTTATAGCAAATATTGTTACACTGACCTGTTTAAAGTTTTGTGTTCATAGATGCTGGGAAAAAAAACAAGGAAGAAATGCTGTTCTTAAAGTCTGGTTCCTCAAAACTACTTCAAACAAAATGGAGCCATTTGTAGGCGTCAGGGAATTGTCCGGTCAGGGAACAGACTAGCTGGCTTGAACAGTCCACAGATGTGTAACCAATTGCAAACAAAATGTGGACCAACTAAATTTGGCAAATTCGGGCCAGTATTTGAAAAAAAAAGTACTTTTTTTTCCCCAGCGATGGTCGGCTTACCATCGTTGGAAATTGATACAAAAATTCCACTTTTCTTGAAAATGACAGCACACCAGGTGCCATGATTTCACAGGATGCTTGAGACTATTATTCAGTTACAGTCAAGTAAGGTATTTGATAAAAAATTGGTAGTTTTGTTTTTTGATGTTTGCAAATGTTGTATATTACCTTTAACTCTCCTGAAACGAATGAACAAATTTTGGATTGTAAATGCAGCCGTGGATGCAAGTGCAAGATAAATTGAGAATTTTCAGCATTTCGAAGTAAAACAATTTGTCCTAATATGGTGGCCTCAGACTCAAATTCCTTAAAACAAACTTGCAAAACATGCCCTTCCCAAGAGCAGGTCCTGGAAGTTAAAAGCCTTTGCAGTTATCATCCGGGATATCACACCCTGGTGCTTTAAGACGTTGTCCTTACCTTCTGCTGAAGGCTCTTGTTCTTCTTTAACATCCTTGTCTTCAGCTTGAGCATCTTGGTTTTTGACTTGTTCATCTTTGTCTTCAACTTGTTTATCTTCATCTTTGATTTCTTTATCTTTGTCTTCGACTTTTTCACCCTCGTCTTTGATGTGTTCGCCTTCGTCTTTGACTTGTTCACCTTCGTCTTTGATTTGTTCGCCTTCTGCTGATGGCTCTTGTTCTTCTTTAACATCCTTGTCTTCAGCTTGAGCGTCTTGGGCTTTGACTTGTTCATATTTGTCTTCGACTTGTTCATCTTTGTCTTCGATTTGTTTATCTTCATCTCCAACTCGTTCACCACCATCATCATCATCATCATCATCTTCATCTTCTTCATCGTCCTCCCCATCATCATCTTCATCATCGTCATCATCCACATCCTCGTAATCTTCATCGTCGTCATCAACATCTTCATAATCCTCATCATCATCATCGTCAACACTGCCTTCAGCCTCCAGTTCATCAGGCGTCTTCGATCCGGCATTGACATCCTGAACATCTCCTCCATCGACTTCCTTCGTGGCTTGACCGCCATCCTTCTCTTGGTCGTTTTTCTTTTCTTTTTCAATTTCTAATGTTGTCACTTCTTTACTCTCTGCTTTCTTGATATCCTCCTTGGCTGCATCTACTGCCTTCTTGAACTCCAGAGCTGTCTCTTCCGTTTTGAACCTAACGGCAAGCTGCTCCATTTGCACCTCGTCCTCAGAAGCATCCATCGCCATCCAGACCCAGGATTTTGTCGACCCGGCGTTGGACTTGAGATTAAGCTCAGGCGTGACGAAGTGGTTGGCACACACCTTCAGGACCTGTTCCCGACGCATGACAATGCGGTATTTCCGGTTGTCGGGGTTGTACAGGAGCTTGATGTCCCCGAGCCCGCGCTCTTTCCACTGGGAGGTATCTTTGTCGAAGCGGTAGAGCTTGGCCCGGTGGCTGAATTTTGCAGTCTCGCCCTCTTCGCCTGTTGTCACCTGGACGTTCTCCGGCAGCTCAACGACGGGCTCAAAATGGATGTGATCACCGTCGTCGTCTTTGTAATACTCATTGTCGCCGCTCTTGTTGAATCCCGGCGATTTCATGAAGCCTGGGGATTTGGGCTTGACGGGCGACTTCTCAGAACTCACGTCTGGAGTTTTGCTGACATCCAGTCGGAAGGAGAAGGCTGAGCCCTTGGATTTGGCAATGTCTGCAAAGGAGAAGCCTTTGGGGGTTTCCTGTTTTGGCTTGGCGGTTGGGGCGGGGGTGGACGTAGCCGGCTTGGACCCGAAGACATACCCGACTGAGGGTTTGACCGGAATCACCTGAACCGCCGGGGAAGCAGAAGCCACGGCGGTGTCAGCGGCGCCGCCAGCTTTTGGAGGGGTCAGTCCGCTGGCGCCGAAGGCAAATCCCGCGCTGGGGCTCTGCACTGCTGCCATCGGCGATGCGGCCGTGTCGCCTGCTCCTCCGAGATCAAACTTCTGGAAGCCGCCCCCGAACGTAAACTGGGTGGTAGGGGCTGCCGGAGTGATTTCCTTGGCAGTTGTCAGGGTAGTGTCAGACTGCGTAGCTCTGAATTGTCCGGTCGACAGCGAGGATCCAGGAGTTGAGAGGGATGTTGCACTCGAAAACCCAACAGCTGGTCCACCGAATTTAAAGTCTGGTTTAGCGGCACTGTCAGTACTGCCAAATTTGAAACCGCCACCTCCACCAAATTTGACATTGCTTGCTGAAGCGCTGGAACTTCCAGTTTGCGGAGCTACCCCGGGTTTGGGCGTCATGCAAGCAGCACAACTTGTGTCATCCTTACTATTGTTCAGCATGCACATTTCGCACTGCCAGTCTCCTGCCTGGCTCTTGAATTTGGCAAATACGTCCTCACTTGCTGCCTGAAAAAAAGACGACAACCAAACAGAAATGGTGAAAAATGTTCAACCTGTTAGCACCATGAATATGGAAATTTGCATTAGCATAAAAAACAAAAAGGCACCAAAATACCCTGGAATATGGCAAAATCACAACTGAAAATAAGGTTAAATGGCAAAAAAAATGCGTTTTCAAGGACTGCATTAAAAAAAAATTACGTAGCATGGGCCCTTTAAAAATTGGGTTTTGCTTTAAAAAAAAAATCAAAAAAAAAAATCAACGCTTGCTCAAATGGGATTCGAACCCACGACCTACCATCTACTAGTGCCGACCACTCAATGACCAAGGCCACCAGGGCTAGACAGCCGAGCTGAATCAAAACAAAAATACTCAGACTGTAGCAAATAAATCCTGAGATTGGATGCTCACCCCTTGATCTGGCTCACTGCTTCCTCCAGCGACATATTCCTCCTTCGTTTCCTCCACATCTTCTTCGGTGTCTTGGACCGCCTCAGCTGCAGCCGCAGCCGCCTCTGTCTTCTGCTCCTCCTCTCTCTCCTCCTCTTCTCTCCTGGCCACCTGGAGCTCCTCAAGGCGGCGCTTGAACTCGTGGGCCAGCTCGGCGGTCTTGAACTTGATGGCCAGCTGCTCGTGGGAGGGCTCGTCCTCGGAGTAGTCGATGGCGTGCCAGACCCAGGATCGGTCTGAGGACTGCAGGGGGTCCAGCTTCATGTCCGGGGTGATGCGGTGGTTGGCGCACAGCTTCAAGACCTGTTGGAGAGAAGTGAACTCCATCTTCATCTTTCTTTTTTAAATTCCAGTCAGGAGACTGTTCTTAGCAGTGCACTTAAATACAGTCACATCAAGATCTTTGGGGTGATTCTGCAGGTTGTGGATTCAAAACAAGTCTTGGGTTGTGGTGCTTGTGTCCATGGGCAAGACACATTTCACTCATCGAATGAATGAATGAATGAATGAATGAACGAATGAAAGGAAGGAAGAAGATTTGTGTGGCGCTCATTACTTCTCTCCTTTTCTTTAGATCATAGAAACACAATGCTGGATTTCTAAAAAGTGTTATAACAGGAAGTACAAATATTCCAAGTTATAGCGTAATCCGTCTGTGCATGAATGCTAATGAGTGGACCTTTGTACATGTTCTACATAAAACAGGATTTGTTCTGGCAACTTGTGTTCGAATTTGCCATTTTACACAAAAAAAATGGAGTCAAAAATGTCTGTAAGACATCAGTCTGTGAATTCATAAGGCCTTGGGACAAAACAAAAATCTGTGAGGATATAAGAAATGTGCAAGGGTTGGGAGTGGGGTGTGGTCGTGTTGGATGTGGAGTGAGGGTTGGGGTGAGGTATGGGGTGGGGTATGGGGTGGGTTTGGGGTGGGGGTGGGGGGGGGGCTGGGTTACGGGTTGGTGTGGAGGTAGGTGTTGGGGTGAAGGTGGGGGGGGCTGGGGTTAGGGTTGGTGTGGAGGTAGGGGTTGGTGTGGAGGTAGGGGTTGGGGTTGTGGTGGAGGGTTGGGGTTCGGATTGCTGTTGAGGTAGGGGTTGGGGTGGAGGTGGGGTGCTGGGGTTGGGGTTTGTGTGGTGCTGGGGTTGGGGTTTGTGTGGTGCTGGGGTTGGGGTTTGTGTGGAGGTGGGGGTTGGGGTGGAGGTGGTGGGTGGGGTCAAGTGGTGGGGAAGCTCCTCCCCTTCCCTCCCTGCCACCATTTTTAGCATTAAAATCTCACCTGCTCCCGTCGCATGATCAGTCGCAGGGCGCCGCTTTGTTTGTGACGCAGCAATTTGACCTCTCCGATGCCTCTCTCCTTCCAGACGCCCAGGTCCTTGGCGTAGCGATACAGACGGGCCCGCTGCTTGTACATTATCTCTTCATCCTCCTCACCAGTCTTGACTTGCACGAGCTGCCAAAAATACCGCCAAATTTATTTAAAATACATTTTACAGTTTTAAAGTACATGAATAGGATAAAGAAATTTCAAAAACACCCCTCCCCCCAACTTTGGGTATTGGTCATATCTCTTTTTCATGCTCTGCCAAGAATGAACTGGTTTTGACAGAACAATTCGCTTTTAAATGAGGAGGCTGTAAGACCTCAATTTTGGTGTAAGTGAATCCAACATTACTGATGTCAAGTTTACACAAGAAACTTTTTTTAAAACAATCTCAAATTTGTTGGATTTAAATAAAGTTACTACCACTGCTTGAGAGAAATTCCACGAAATTCTAAACCTCCATGCCAAAGTTTAACAAAAATCCAAATGCCGCAAATGAAACGTATAGTTTACTTCGAACAATTTTCAACAGTTCAGCCGTTACTTAAGTACACACACACACAAAATTGTCAAAGTACGTCCAACACTATGGAACCAATTTCTACAACAGCAAAAAATTTGGATGAAAAATTTCTTCTTTAAATCATTGTAGTAACTGATATGTTTTATCATAATTAAAATCCACTTTATGATTGTACCTTATATTATGCACACTGCTGAATTGTCCAAAATGTATGTCCGACACCATGGAACAGCCCTTGGATTAACCTAACCCTCCTGCTATTTAAGCAGTCACAGACAGTCAAAATTCACTTCCACTTCCCCCGCTAAACTTTTATCAAAGGCTAGTCACCAGCAGTCAGATCATATGCCAAGCAAGCACTGTGGCTAGTCAAACTGGGTCAACAGACAACATAGGCAAGTTGTGGTCACAGCTATTTTATCACTCACCCAGAGTCAAAGCATAGCTGTATCAAGTTACTTAATCAGTCCCAGCCAGTCAATCCTGCTTTATGTACATGTATGTATACTGGGAATTCTGAACTGTTGAAAATAGTCAAATGATTGATTTTGTCTGAAAGGACTACTTGGCACAGAACGTATGTTTGCATAGGAGGGTTACTATTTCTACTGTTGCACCAAGAAAATGGCGCTACAAGTGCCCTCAAATGGGAAAAAAAAAATCAACCTGGTGACATATTAATACATCAATGGTGAATGATGTGACTTTAAGATTTCTTAAGATTTGCGTACCTCCGGAAGCGTCATGATCGGATCGTAATGCGGGTCATGTTCGTGGCTTTCCTCTGCCCCGCCATCTTCACCCGCACCCGCGCCGAAGACCTGTGCCCCGGCCTGGGCGAAAGAGAAGCCCTTGGTGGACCCTGGTTGGGGGGAAGGGACAATTGCAAGTTTCATGTAAAAGTAACAAGTGTTTAACCCTTTCCTTACCACATTGTTTATTGACTTGGCTCTCCCCAGGACAAAATTGTTTGCTAAGTCATGCGGAAATCACTAGAGTGTGAACAAAATGACCACAAGTCCAAAACTCAAATGTTACCTCCGGCAAATGTCCCCTGTGTGTCTGCAGTGATATTGGCAAAACTCAGCGTCGACGTTCCACCGCCACCACCAAATATTGAAGATGGCTGGCTAGGTTCTACAGTTAGTAATAACAAAAAAAATGAAATTATGAGTACAAAATCTTAAGGAAGACTTTCTACAGTGTATTTTTTTAACTTTTAACCCCAACCTCCCCAAATCCTCTTACAAAGATCTTTGCAAAATGGAGAATGCAGGATTGAGGCAATATGGCAAAAACGTGTGACTGATTTTGCAGGATGCACTGTGTCAAAGTCTTGGGCCGGACCTTGTGTTGTTTATGCTCAGCTGTGCATAAATTTAGGCCTAGATTATACTTGAAATCCTCCGCACTGCTCCAGCATGTCACTGGCTCTGCCTCAACATATTGACAGTGATTGCTGGAGGATTTTGCAGGATTGAGGCAGTGGTCACCCTCAAAGGACTACAGGCAAGAAATAATGGAGGATTTTGGAGGATTGAGGCTGTATGCAATTTGTACGTGGAGGCAGTTGGAGGATTTTGCAGGATTGAGGTTGCATCCTAGCAAAAATGCCTAGGGAGCTAGGGTTAAGGCATAGTATCAGCACAGGTGTTACACTGAGTACCTTGGGTGCCAAATGTTGTTGGCGTCTCCTTGGTAGGGGCTGCCTTACCGACATCACCAAACGTCTGCTGAACAGAGGCAGCGCTGCCGAACGATGGCCCGTGCGACTGTGGCACATTGGCTGCTGGCTGAGTTGATTTAGGTACTGCCATGAAAAAAACGGGGAAAAAAAGTCATGTATCACATCACAATGTGTCAAGAAAACTAAAACTCATTTTCAAGATTTCCCGATATCCAGAGTGGCTGGAAACCATGCTTTTGGATATGATATTGGCAAAAATCTAAACAACAAGAGGCAAGAGATTCCTACGTGGACTTACGACTCTTTCCTCTGGCAGCTAGGTCCTCAGGCTCGCATCCAGGGCAGCCGAGACACGACAAGATTTTTTTTCTTCTGATTTCCAGTGTCGTTGGGAAGCCTGTTTTTGGATGCCTTATATTGGCAAAGATCTAGACAAGAATCTTGGACAAGAGATTTGAACGTGGACTTACGACTCTTTTCTCTAGCAGCTAGGTCCTCAGGGTCACATCCAGGGCAGCCGGGACACGGCGGTTCATCCTCGTAGAGAAAGAAGGTAGGAGGGAGGAGGAGTGCTTCGGCCCTGGCCCGCTGATCAGGAGTGGGCATCTTCTCCGAAACAAAGATCACGTCGTCATCATCATCATCGTCAACAACATCTAGACATCAAGGGAAATGAGTATATTGAGATCGCATTATGTCCTGTTGCTTTCAACTTAGAAGCAATGTTGTGTATCGGGTCGGGTTGTCCAGGCCGAACCGACCTGAAACATTATAGATATATACCGAATCCGAACCGACACCGATCTGAACTCCCTAAAACCGACCCGAACCGACCCAAAACTGAACCGACTCCAAAACCCCCCAAATATCTGGCTTGGGCAACTGTCTGCTTTTTGTGCCTGAACTTACCCGCGCCTTGGAAAATTGTCATCTCTCAGTAATTGAATCATACTGTACAGTACTCACAACGTAAACTACTGGTGGGCCTACACCTTATAGATCTTGTGCGATAGACCGCAAGCCACATTTGGTCGTAACCGGGCATAGTGAATTTCTAAACTGTTCCGTTTTTTGGGGGTTTATTCCAGTCTATTTCGGGTTTTTCCAAAATGGCTTAACCGAGCCGACCCTACCTGACCTGAAAATTGAAATGCAAAACCAGAACCGACCCGACTAAAATGTTGGACAAACCGACCAGACCTGACCTGAAGTCGGTTTTGGGTCGGGTCGGTTTCGGGTCGGGATCGCACAACATCATTGAGAAGGTTCTTTGCGAAAGATCAATCAATAATTTGAACAGACTATGCCTTAAAGATGCACCATCTATGCTCTTCAAGAAAATCAACTTCTCTCTTCCAACGAATTTTCGGTTGCAATCTTCTTAAAAAAAAAAAAAAGGCTTTTATTTCGGGATACTCTTGGGCACAACTGGATCCCGACGAGTAATCTATTTCCTGGTCTCCATATGATCAATTCTTAAAAGGAACAAGAACCAGTCCACTTTGAGAAAACTGAAGAACTGAACAATTGCCACAAATAATTTGAAATTTGAAAGGTAACTATTTTCCCAAGTAAACGTGGTTCGATTTTTCTCAGGCGATGCCTTATTCAAAGGTCAACAACTTATGAATTGCTAGGAAAGTAGCAATTTAAAAACCAAATCTAAAACTTAAAAGACTTGAAAAATAGCATGGACAGCACATGTAAATTTGTTGATCATGTACTTACTGTCTTTCTGCAGAGTTTCTGAAGGTTTGCCAACACTCGCAAAGCTGTTTAAACCAAAACCTGTTCCTGATGGGTGCTGACCGAAACTGAATCCAGCAAAGGGGGACTGGGAAGTGGTTTTGATTGACGTAGCCGCGGGGGTCACTGGTTGGAGTTGGGTCGATGAGGGCTGGGGGATTTTGAAGGAGAAGTCGGACATAGCAGTGGGGGCGGAAGTGGTGGCAGAAGTGGGATTAGGTGCGGCGGAAGCCAGTTGTTGGCCTGAGCCGAAAGCTGGTTGAGAAACTGACCCACCGGAGAAAAATCCCTGGGTTGGAGCGGGCCCGATGGAGGGGGTAGTGGAAGCCACGGTCGAGGGCTTACTGGACACGGGTGTGAACGCTTGGGGTGGGGTACCGGCCGTGATGGAACCCGACTTGGAAAATCCAGCCTTGGAGGAATCCTCCGGCTTGTCCATCAGCATGGACAATAGGAGAGGGGAGTTGCTGCTGACATCTTGACCACTTGCTGCCTTTGAGGCAGCTTTGGCGGGAGCAGAGGAAGTCCCTGCAAGGCCAACGTGTGGCTCTGGGGTCTTATGTTCCGGAGCGGTTTGTGGTACAAGTGATGCAAACTGAGGTACATCTGCTGGTTCTGTCGGATGGGCGACCATGCCTCCTCTGAAAGCGGCGTTTGTCTGGAAGGCAAAACAAGAAGACGTTGTAGTTTGAATTTCTGAACTGTTCCAAAACTGGTGTAATATTGGGTTTTGCTCTGAAGTGGCATACTTTTTGGAGCACTTTTTACTCATTGCCTGCGAGGAAACTTTGGAAACTAACTCAGGCTGGACTTGAACTCACTCATGAGCTTACTCATGAGGACAGATAACGGCTCACCTGCTGAGGCTGTGAGGGTCACTTGAGCAGTTCAAACCTGATCTAGCAGCGGTACTGAAATATATTATGGTTTTGTAGGATGCTTCAGCTTTTAAAACGGAATGCTCTTTCTGCTTACATACCTGAACATCAACAGCAGGAGTTCCTGTAGGTACTGAAGCACCTGGAGCCTCAGCTTCGGTAGGTGATGTGTCGTCATCGAACATCACGTATTGCGGCGCGCCGGGCACGTGGGCCGCGTGCATTGCCGGCGTCGACGTGATGAGGCTCGGGTGCAGCCCGGGTGTTTCGTACGCCCCAGCCGCGGCCAAGCCGTAGGCCTGCGGGGCGGCGTAGTAGCCGTACCCTGGATGGTGGTACAGGCTGGTTGCAGGCAGGCCGTGCATGGGGCTAGCCACTCCCGGCATGGGGCTGGCCAGGCCGGGGTGGGCCATGATAGGGTACCCTGTCCCGCCCAGTTGGGTCGCGGAGAGGTTGTCGATTTTGCACTCTGCGGCGGAGATGATGATTGGTCGGTTGGAGTTGATGTCCGGGATGGGCTGGGGTGGAGGGGGTGGCGGGGGCGTAGCGGCTGCCTTTTGGGCCTGGGCGGTGGTCAACTCCTGAAATTTCACCTAAATCGGGAGAAGCATAACCAGCTTTACAGGTTTTGGAGTCACTGAATGTTTTTACTTGATTTGAGTCATTCTAAGGCAGTGACTTCTGTGAAGTGTTGTCCAGACACAGACTTGCGTTGAGTCATCGAGGCTCAAGTTGAGTCATTGACGCAGTTCGAGTCCCCAACTTCAATCATGTCATGGACTTGTTTTGAGTCACTTACTTGATTATCATCTTGAGTAGAGTCATGAACTCGAATCAAGTAAATGAGTCGAGTCATAGTCTCAAGTCAAGTAATTTACTCAAGTCCAGTTATCATCTTAAGTAGAGTCTTCAACTCAAATCAAGTAATTGAGTCGAGTCATGAACTCGAGTCGAGTCGTTTACTCAAGCCCAGTTATCGTCTTGAGTAGTCATCAACTCCAATCAAGTAATTGAGCCGAGTCATGGTCTCAAGTCGAGTCATGTACTCAAAATCAGTTATCATCATGAGTAGTCATTAACTCAAATCAAGTAATTGAGTCGAGTCGTGAACTCAAGTTGAGTCGTATACTCAAGCCCAGTTATCATCTTGAGTAGTCATCAACTCAAATCAAGTAATTGAGTAGAGTCAAGAACTCAAGTCGAGTCGTATACTCAAGCCCAGTTATCATCTTAAGTAGAGTCATCGACTTGAATCAAGTAATTGAGTCAGGTGGTGGTCTCAAGTCGAGTAATCTACTCAAGTCCAGTTATCATCTTAAGTAGAGTCATCGACTTGAATCAAGTAATTGAGTCAGGTCGTTGTCTCAAGTCGAGCCATCTACTCAAGTCCAGTTGTCATCTTGAGTAGAGTCATGAACTCGAGTCGAGATCACCTACTTGATTTTAATTATCATCTTGAGTAGTCAGTTACTCAATTTGAGTCACCGACTCCTCGAGTTATGGACTTCAGCCGAGTCATCCACTTATATCTAGTCTTTGTCTCAAGTCAAGTCAAGTCATTGATTCAAGTCCAGTCATCAGATATCATCAACTCAATTTGAGTCACTGAATCGAGTCGAATCATTGACTGTAATTCAAGTCATTGACCAAAGTCGAGTCATGGAGTCGAGTCCTTGACTTGAGTCTTAACAACTCACGTTGAGTTCCAGGACTTGCTTCATCAGGGCGTTGTTGGACTCCATCAACGTGTTCTGCTTGTCGATCAGTTGCTGGTTCTGCTCCAAGATGCGGCTGTGAGTGGTGGCCAGTGAACGCAGCTGGGCGTTTTCTTCCATCAGTCGGCCGTGGGAGAGGTTCAGGGAGCGAAGCTCGGCTGCAAGCCGGCGGGGGCTGGGGTCGTTCCCAGCCGCCTTTCGATTCAGAAAAAAAAAATGTAAGACCCATTTAAACTAATTAGCACCTGTTTTAGGCCCCCCCCCCCAAAGTCTTCGGTTTCTGGTATGGAGCTCTCCCCAAATAGTGGTGCGGCGACGCGGCTTTTTTTTACCCTACTTTTTTTTCTTCAAATGTCAGCTGATGTTGTAGATGATGCTTCGATCCCCTTAAAACTCTAAAAAAATCCTTTAGAGTGGAGCTTGAGGTGACCTTAGTAAGGCCATATAGGCCATCAGCCTCGGTCCAAAATTTTGGCCATCGGTATCAAATGAGGGGGAAAAATCGTCATAGCGATTTTTGGCAAGGTATACACCTCCAGAGTTGGAAAATATGTGATAGCATTGCAGCGGTGGCAGCTTTTTGGGTGTTATCACCCTTTTTTTTCAAAATGTCCATCAAAATGCTTGTTACCACTCTAGGGGCGGTATACCTTGCGCATGCGCACTATAATCATTTATGCCCTGTTTTGATACTGGCCAAACCCCCAGGCTGATGGCCTAATAAGGCTTGAGAAGTCCCGAGTTGGTGTAGGTCAGGCTGCATCCTCGCATCGCATCCCTAGAATGGTGCATACCGGTTAAAATGGTGAAACTCAAAATTTAGCGCAGAAAGAAAGTTTTAGAGATGTCTACCTCTAGTGGAGCCACGTCGCTGAGGCGACTGGCGTTCCCGCTGTAGTTGAGCGATCCGAGCAGCGTGTCGCCAGCAGCGGTCCCTTCCTCTTCCTCCAAAGCGGCAACTTCGTGGCTCAACGCAATCTGCTGATCGTCAATCTCCATCAGAGAGGTCTGGATTTGCTCATGGAGCGGCTAGCAAACGAAATTAGATAAAATAAATAAATAAACAAAACAAAACTCCACAGCCACCTCACTACTTTATGGGAAAACAGACAAACAGACAAGCCACCAACGCACAATCCTAGATCATCTTAGATGAATGTTACAAAGCAAAGAGTAAAAAACAAAACTGCAAATATATATTTTGAGACAGCAAGACAGACCAACACACAAGTTAACCAACACACAGACATACATCTTGTAGAAAACAAAACAGCCAAAGAATAGAACTACAAACACAAAATAGATGACAAGACAGACAAACAGAGGGGTGGACCAACACGCAAACCTACATTATCCGGCTGGTTCTGGATGCTATCCATGGTATCAAACAGTGCGTGTTTGGCCTTGTCCAGCAGTTCACCTTGCCGACTCAGCGGGCTTGAGATGACCTCTAACCCCTGACCTTCGGCCTCAGTCTGCGCCTTGTTCAGGTACATCTGAAGACCAAAAAAATGACTGGACTTTAGGCCACTTTTTCTTAATGGGGCCACGTAACAGAATTCTTGGTTACATAATACCACTCCCAGTTTTTTTTTGCATATTACTTGGTGGTACTGCACTTTGTAGTACTTTGGGTATTTAGCCTAATAATAATAATTTGGGAGGCTAATCATCCTTACTCGCAGCTGGTATGCTGAATTGCGAAGGACGCGGCTACAACGTGGTCGGGCCGCTGGCACGTAAAGGCGCCTATGGATGCCGGCCACATCAACCCATATATGACCACAGAGCACAGCCTGAGATCGAAAGTGTTTGATTTTTCCGAAGGGAGGAAAACCGGAGGGCCCGGAGAAAAACCCACATGGCACAGGAGAGAACCAACGCACAACTCTACTCACATGCGATCCGCGGCCAGGATTCGAACCGTGGTCACCTTGGTGAGAGGCGAGCGCTTTACGCACAAGCCACCCATGCCACCCATGACACCCACACAACAATTGTCTTGAGGCTGTGTTGGGGTGTCGTACATCTCAAAGGATTGGAAACGATCGCCAGTTCTAGTGACAGAATAAGTGATTACGCCTGCCTTGCCCAGCTCAAGACCATTCTACCCGGGGAGTTGTTGATATAAACAGGTGGTTCTTTTTTAGGGGCTGATGTTTGGGTCAATGGTGCAACCGAATTCAGTGCTATCGGGTCGCGACTTTCACTGGTACCCAATTATACGCCTAGGTAGGGAGAGGCAATTGTAGTAAAGTACCTTGCCAAAGAACACAAGCACCATGTTTCCGTATGGATTTGAATGTGTGTATCATGGCACATGAGTTGAACACTGTAACTTGGACAGCGGCGCTCCGGAAGGCTACCTTTACCTGTGCTTTGAGATAGGAGCCGTCGGCCGACTTGGTTTTGTCCAGCATGGCTACAGCTTGTTGGAACTGGCCCTGCTGGAACTTGTGCTGGGCGATGGCCACGGTGCCTTCGTCTTGATACTCCTGAAGCTTGTCCGCCTTGAAAAAAAAAAAACATAACATCACTTTAATTTGATATTTTGATAGAAATATACAGCTACAACTCATCAACAGTTAATTCACTGTCTGTGGACATATGCTCGTCTTGACTGGGACCTCAGTGCCGAAAAAACATGCAAAACCAATTTAGGCCAACTTTTCTCACTCTTCAACAGACAAACTTCTAAGAAATTTTCATTTCACCAGCTGTTTCAGACTTGCATTCTAGAGATGCGCCAAACCAACTTTTCAAAATTTGACACTTGAAATAGTTGGGACAACTGTTTCAAAAGATCAACCATTGGAGTCATTTAGAAAAACGCCAGAGTACAGTCAATGCAAAATTAATACTTAAGATTTCCTTTCTAAAACCGAAATCTATTTGGGTCAAGCTGAGTCGATCCTTATATTATTTGGTTCGGCACGGCTCCGTAACAGCACTCTAAAATGGGAGAAAAACAGTGGTGTTTTTTTTTACCGGGATAGGTCTACTTCCATAGGGAAAGAATGGCTTCTGTTGAGTAGGAACGGCCTGATTCCTGTAAGTAAAAAAAATTAAAAATAAAAATTAAAAAAACGATTTCATTTGCACACACATTTCCGACAGAAATCTTCAATCAAAATTCTATGAATTTTCCAGGATTTTTCCAGAACAAAAGTAGGGCTTTCCAAGACCAATTCCTAAGCTGTTTTGGCATCTGAGGAGCCTACTGCTCTGGAGGCAAGGGACGCCACTCCCTTTCAGCGTTCCAGTTTGACACAAGACAACGGAGCACCAGAAAAAGCATCACAATGATGTATTGAATCACAGATCCCCTACACAAGGATAAACGATTCATCTGAGCTTGTGTACAAATGTACGGTTTGTCTACATACGTGATATGCCACGTCCACGCATAAAACAACAACGCACAGAACATGTAGACCAATGCGCGCGCGCCATGATCGCCGACAGCTGGCATCCTGACAGAAATTTGACCACTGAAAGACTGCAGTCGCGCGACTAGCCTCGCGCACGCACACGCACGACGCGCAAGTACCGTATCCCGCATCTAACCAGAAATCTGGGGAAGTCGTTATCCTTGTGTAGAGGATCCGTGATTGAACACGCATCAATTTATAGAGCACACATGCATAAAGAGGAAGTATAGTAAACTGGAATGCAAACTGGAAGACTGCCATAGCCAAATGTTACGCATCATCACGTATGGGTTGTGCAGGATTCCATGACAAGGATTTTCCAGGATTTTTCAAATGACTATGATTCCATGACTTTCCAATGACTTTTTCCTTGGACTATCAACTTGCTATGACTCCTTGTAACAAAAATAAAATTCCATGACTTTTCCATGATGCCTTTAAAATTCAAGGATTTTCCAGGATTTTTCAAATGACTAGGATTCCATGACTTTTTCCTTGGAATATCAACTTGCAATGACTCCCTATTGCAAAAATAAAATTTCATAACTTTTCCATGATGCCTTTAAAATTCTAGGATTTTCCAGGATTTTTCAAATGACTAGGATTCCTTGGACTTTCCAATGGAATATCAACTTGCCATGACTCCTTGTAACAAAAATAAAAATCCATGACTTTTTCCATGATGCCTTTAAAATTCCAGGATTTTCCAGAATTTTTCCAATTACTCATGGAACCCTGAATATTTTCTTACCTGGCGATCAGCTGAAGGTGTTCCAGTGCGGCCTGCCAGTACATGACGCTCATTTGCTGGAAGCCGCTCCACTGGTCCCTGTTGTCGTCACCGGCGCTCGACTGCTGAACTTCTTGCATCTGAAGGTCAAAACAATACAAGACGAGGTGAGACTAGTATTGCTGGTCCCAGAGTGCATAAAGCTTCTATTCCATCGATTCTGACGTGGCTAATCGCCGTTAGTTCCTTCATGCATGTGGTCTACACTACGGGCAGGATTTGAAAGTAATTCTATTTCAAATTTTTGGGCAAAGGTTGAGACTTAGGGAGGTCAGGTGACAGTCAGTTACAAAGAGGACTATCAGGACCAGCACAAAAAAATAATTAAAAAAATTAAAAATTAAAAGACAATCAACCTTTATTTTACATGTACATAGAGAATGTTGATACAGGGGTGTGAGTGACCACTGATAAAAATAGCTGAAAACAGCTGAAAAAGGTGTAAAAAAGCTGAATTTTGGAAATCTCCTATACTTTTGTACACAGCAAGTGAGGGGAAAAAGCTGAAATCCAAAACAAAAAACGGCTGAAATCAGCTAAAAAGCTGAGATTTCGCACCCCTGTGATAAGAGAGACCTATTTTCTGACAAAATTGGAGACAATTTTTTTCTTTTTAAATATTTGAAAAAAAAAAAAAAAAAAAATTTAACTTAACAAAAATTGAAAAAAAAAAAAATTTACTTTTTTTTCTTAACTCCCTACCAAATACATGATATATAACGTTAACTAATAGAGAAATTAGAAGTGACCAAGTGCTTTCTATTTTCTTTTTTTTACAAATCTACGTGTGGACATCAACATTCACTCAATTAAATTTGTACATATTTAATTTGTACAAAAGGGCCTACCCTTTGTCCGAATGTGCGTCCGAGACGTATGAGCAGCGACGTCTCCATTCCGTGGTTCATCCGACATCGCAACACCTCCAGACCTTTCTGGACAATAAGCCGCAACTTGGCTCGCTCACTAGGGCTTGGTTCAAACACAAAACAAACGGTATTCAGATTTTCAAGAAAAAAAAAGAAGACGACGACATTTCACTATACAAAACCATCTGGTTATATTTGAAAACTGAATGTTTTTGAAGACAATCATTAATTGCCATAAACAATAATGACAATTCCGTCAAGAGAATGAATCATTATATTCACCTCGCCTTGGCTGTATACAGACAGTAGAGGGCGCTATACCACTCCAGCTGCTGGGGGCTACACATCCCGCGACACAACCCCAGGGGGAGGGTCTTGGGCAGGTTCTGAACCCTGGCCTGCAGTTGTTCCTGCTGCCCTTTGGCCACGTGGACGCAGCAATATAGGAAAGCCTAGGGAAAAGAAACAAAATCCAACGAAAAGAGTCAATATTTCTAGCAAAAATACAGGGTTAGTAAAAAAAAAACGAAACCCAAATGTTGGCACCATTGTTTTAGTGAAGTTCTGCATGTTGCATTTTCAAAATCTAGGATATAAAAGCCCAATTCATAAGCTCTCTTTTAGTACAAGAATCATTCAAGTCACTTATGTACTTTTCAAGGTACGGAATTTTAAACACAATCACCATTTTAAGGTTCTGTCCACGGATCACCAAAAAATTCAGTATTCTTTCAGCAAAACGAAAACAAATCACATAGGGATGCGTGTTAATTTTTTTTTGTTTTGCTGAAAGAACGCACCCCTTTTTTGTGATTCGTGGACAGAACTTTAAAACGGTGGTTGTGTTTAAAATTCCGTAACTTGAAAAGTACATGAGTGATTTGAATGATTCTTGTACTAAAAGAAAGCTTTTGAATTGGGCTTTAATGTCCTAGATTTTGAAAGTGCTACATGAAGAACTTCAATAAAACAATGGTCCTGACATTTGTGTGTTTTTTTTTTTACTCACCCTGTATAATTCAAACGAAAAAAAGTCAATATTTTGTGAAGGACCAAATGAACCATTCCTACTTGTCAAACAAACGGTAATCCCTGACCAATCGGAACACGACTTGCGGTCACCTGACCCCAAGTGACGATCTAATTGGTCAATTGAACAGTGTTCATTGACCAATCAGCTCTTGCCTTTATCCCCCTCCCCGGAAAAATATAACTCCACCCACTAGTCCTACCTCGATGTCCAGCAGCCGTATGTTATCTACCGAGGTATTCTCAAGGTGCTGGGTGCTGAACAGGAGACGGGAGAAGACGGGCTGGAGAAACTGGCCCAGGTCTGGCAAGATGCCGTCGTGGCGGACATCCCACTGCAGGCCCATCCAAACTAGTCGCTGGAGACTGGCCGGCTCGGACTTGATGGATTCTGGGAAGGAAAAAAGAAAGAATAGGTTTATTTTATTTCTTTCTGGTAATGAAACCAAGGATTCCTTAAAAGCGCCCCAGGCACTGTAGCTCGGAAGCCTGAAGAAACCTGTAGAGAGAAGACAATGAGAAGCAATAACCAGTGTTGTAGTCGAGACCTCCAAGTCCAAGATCAAGACCGAGACCAGCTCTTTCGATGAATAATGCCATACGTAAATGGTGCATTTTGTTGTTGTCTCGACAGGTCTTGGGGGTAAAACCCGAGACTTTGGCATCCGAGACCGAGACAAGAGCTTTAGAGACTGAGACCAGCCCTCCCGAGACCGAGACTTTGATAGGACGAGACCGAGACCACAAAAAAAGGTCTCGAGACGTTCTCGAGACCTAGACCAGGTCTCGATACCTACAACACTGGCAATAACTGTTTTAGAGGTGGGAGGAAAACCCCAGAAGAATATTCTCGGCAAAACCCACGGAATCAGGCAGGGACTGAAAACCCAATCCACATGTGGTCCGGGCGGGAAACGAACCCGGGCCATGGCGGTGGAGGGCGAAGCAAAGTAACCACTACGCCGACCTGACTCCCCTGATCGTATGACGTCAACGTACCACGTGACCATCCGCGGAAATAGCAAATGATCCTACAAGGTTTAAAATCACCAATCACGGTTTAGTGGATTTTTTTTTTATCCCTGCTGTGGTTACCCATACTTTGCCCTCGATCCTGCTCCTTGTTGAACAACGATGATGAGTACCGTACCTTGGTCATACAGAAACACAGTCTCAATTAGGCTGGGAAGTTCGGAGAATCTGGCGCCGACGAGACTGTCATCCATCATCAGGAACGAGGAGGCCGGATCCAGACCTCCTTGGCCAAAGGCTTGAGACAGAAGCTGTTGCCGACCCTAAATGAATATCAAAATTGCAAAAATTAAAAAAAATACAAAATGTACAAATGATTTCTTAACACTCCGAAATTAGGACATTTGTAATATTCAAAAGCATCTTAAACCAATTTAGGTATTGGAGAATTTTCAAATTTGTACCTCTTCCGAGCACCAAGATGTGTGGCACTGCTTCAGCCATCGGGCATTCCTCTGCTGTTTCACAATGCTCGTCAGAATGTGACCTAACAAACGAAAACAATGTTTTTTTCAATTTCAACATTATCAATGTGATTACGTTTTATGACTCATGATGACTAAAACGAGCTGACAAAAAGGGTTACTTTTTTTACTGATTAGTGATTGACTTGCAATTTGACTTCGGACTGATGTGAGCTTTGACTGGTGATTGACTTTCAATTTGACTTGCGACTGGCTTTTTATTTAAAATGTGACTCACCTGTGATAGATTTGTGATCGACTTGTAATTTGACTTATGACTGACTGGTGACTTGACTTTCGTTTCACTTGTGATTGACTTGTGATCGACTTGTGAGTGACTTGTGATTGAACTGTGATTAACTAGTGATTGACTAACTTGTGACTTGTCTTGTCATTGTGATTCAGCTTGTGCTTGACTTGTGATTTAGCTTGGGTTTGACCAGTGATTGACTTGTGATTCAGCTTGTGAATAACTTATGACTGACTTGTGACTGATTTGTGACTGACTTGTGGCTCACTTATGCTGCCTTGTGATTATTTGTGATTTGACTTGTGATTAACTTGTGACTGACTGGTGATTGAATTGAGATTGACTTGTGACTGACTTGTGATTGACTTATGATTGACTTGATTGACTTGTGATTGAATTGTGATTGACTTATGATTGACTTGGGACTGACTTGTGATTGACTTGTGACTGCCTTGCGATTGACTTGATTGACTGGCGATTGACCTTTTATTGACTTGTGACTGACTTGATTGACTTGTGATCGACTTATGACTGACTTGTGACGGACTTGATTGACTTGTGACGGACTTGTGATTGACTTGTGATTGCCTTGTGATTTAGGTTGTGAATGACTTGTGATTGACTTGTGATTCCAACCCAGACACTCACAGACTTCACTCAGACGACACTGGGCCAGGCTGTAGATCCGTCTGTTGACGTTCCCACTGCTGCCAACGCTCATGTCGCCCCTCGTTGTCGACGACGTCCTCGTTATTTCTTGGCAAGACGGCACCTGGGCGCTGACCAGATAACACGATGTGACAAGTCCAACGACGTCCGCCCAGCGAGCCGAACCCTACAAAACATTCCCAAAAATTGTGATAAGAAAACATAAATTAGATACAGAAATTCACAGAGTTTTAGAAATACATCACTAGTCCAGAATGTCTTTGTTCATTTGAAAAGCTTGTGACTTGACTTGAGACTGGCTGACTTGTGATGGACTTGTGATGGACTTGTGATGACTTGTGATGGACTTGTGATTGACTTGTGATTGACATGTGATTGACCTGTGATTGACCTGTGATTGACTTGTGATTGACTTGTGATTGACTTGTGATTGACAAGTGATTGACAAGTGATTGACTTGTGATTGACTTGTGACTGACTAGTGATTGACTTGTGATGGACTTGTGATGGACTTGTGATGGACTTGTGTTGGACTTGTGATTGACTTGTGATTGACTTGTGATGACTTGTGATTGACTTGTGATTGACTTGTGATGAACTTGTGATGGACTTGGGATTGACTTGGGATTGACTTGTGATTGACTTGCGATGACTTGTGATGGACTTGTGATGGATTTGTGATGGACTTGTGATGGACTTGGGATTGACTTGGGATTGACTTGTGATTGACTTGCGATGACTTGCGATGACTTGCGATGACTTGTGCTAATGGGCGGGCGTCAGCCTTCGTGAAATGGCTAAATGTGTACATGTTCAAACAGTTTTTAAATTTTTGCTAAACGTTTACAAAATTAAACACAAAGTCACATCCTTTACCAAAAAAACAAACCAAGAGTTCTTAAACATGTCCGCTTGTGATTTTTATTCGTAGACCCAGATGCCTCAACAAATACCAACAAATAACCTCAGAAGATCTAGATCAAATGCTCATGTTCTTACCGTGGACGCCATTTTGACAAGGAGTGTAGCCAGGTGCGTGTACAGCTGCGCCTTCATTTCTTGCAGCACAGTCTGGGCACCAGACTGCTCCGGGCACGACGGGCTGGCATCGACGTAGTCACAGGCACGGAATAACTCTTTGTCCATCCTGATATAAAAAAATAAGGAAGAAAGATTTTACCTCAATAGACACCAAGAACTGAAATATTTTCAGTTAAGGCTGTACCACATAAACACCAATATCCTCTAGTTAGTCAATTTATATGAAAAACAGATCTGTTACACGGTATCCTGTGGAGACATGCGCATAATAGGGAACAAAAGATGGAAAGTCTAGTTTTCAAAAGTAAGCCATCACTTGTGTCCTTAAGCAAGACACTTAACCATTATTGCTTCGTCCTTCGGATGGGACATAAAGCCGCAGGTCCCATGCGTTGTATAATGCACGTAAAAGAACCCAGTAACACTTATCGCTTAGAGAAGGGGTTCGCCACAGTGTTTCTGGTAGTGCGTTTATCCTTGGTTCTTGGTTGGTTTATCTCCTAAATACTCCGCGTGGGGTTTATACAGGAGACCAGAAACACCGGGGCAAACCCCTTCTCTTGGCGATAAATGTCACTGGGTTCTTTTACGTGCATTGGATTACACAACACATGGGACCTACAGCTTAACGTCCCATCTGAAGGATGAAGCAATAATGGTTAAGTGCCTTGTTCAAGGGCACAAGTGTCCACCCGGCGGGCTCGAACCCAAATGGTCAGGAAAAAAGACCGACTTCCGAGCCCAAATTTTTATCCTCCGCACTTACACTCTAAGCAGCTTGGACGCCTGTGTGACGGCCGTGTTGTGCACAGACAGCGTGATGCGGGCTAGGTTGTTGATGCTGACCAGCATGTGACCAAACGTGACGATGTGATCTGGAGACTGATCGCCGTCGTCTACACTCAACAGTATCATCTGAAACAAAACATGCGCAAAACGTCACCAACAAATCTTCAGCCCTGAAGTATACCAAAAAACACTTCTAAATACATGGTATATGAACTTATAGATTAAATTCTTGAACCAGGACGTCTGTCCTAAGCGCCACTTTCAAATTCCACTTTTAATTTAACCCTAACCTTCCCAAATTCTCCAGAATGCTCTTTCCAAAAATGAAGGATTTTGCAGGATTAAGGTTATATGGCAAAAGTGTGTGGCTGATTTTGCAAGATGCACTGTGTCAAGGTCTTAGGCCAAACCTTGTGTTGTTTATGCTCAGCCGTGCATAAATATAGGCCTGGATTATACTTGAAATCCTCTGCACTGCTCCAGGATGTCACTGGCTCTGCCTCAACATACTGACAGCGATTGCTGGAGGATTTTGCAGGATTGAGGCAGTGGTCACCCCTCCTAGGACCACACATTCAAGAAATAACAGAGGATTTTGCAGTATTACGGCTGTATGCAGTTTTTACATGGAGGCAGTTGGAGGACTTTGCAGGTTGAGGTTGCATCCTAGCAAAAATTGCCTAAGGAGTCAGGGTTAATGGTTCACATGACCTAAAATACCTGGTACAGCTGGAACGTCTTTTTCCACCACTGGAGCTCCTGGTCAAACAGTCTGGCGCCCTCTACCTGCGCGCAGAGCTGCTGCGCATCCTTCAGCTTCTGCAGCTCTATCAGCACTTCCAGCAACTGAAGGTGCAGCTTCAGATCTTGAGGTCGCGACCTCTGCACGACAAAGTTTGGATAAAACCAAGCACAATCCACTGAAAAAACTCAATGTAGAAACTGTTTCAGTAAGTTATACATGTATCGATGCACACTTTTTTAAGCGACTCAGGTTGACAAAATAGAATTTGCTTTCAGACAAAGAAACCTAATATATTACTGGAATCACAATACTTGGGCCGAGTCCTTTAGAACGACTGCATCAATCAATATTCTGATGTTGGAACGCCCATGAAAATTGGTCCTAAGTCCAAAATGAAATTTTAAAATCCATTTTCTCCATTTCACATTGTGCACTTTATAAAGTACAGCTTTACAATTCTGCATTTCACAGGTTGAGTAAAAAAAAAAGGAACCCAAACCCCCAAAATAATATTTCATATTTAAAAAATATGTAGCACCAAAGATAATAATGACTGGAAAGCCAATTTCACAAGCTACTGTTAGATGAAAAAATATTGAAATTGCTCAATCCGTTCTAAGAATATCACCATTTAAACACAATGACCCTAAAACCTCTTTCGTGTCATTGCGTTTAAATGGTGATATTCGTTTAACGGATTGAGCAATTTCAGTATTTTTTTCATTTAAAAATAGCTTATGAAATTTCCTATCTATTATCTATAAATTACTATCTTTGGTGCTACATATTTTTCTTTAAATATGAAATACATTTTGAGGGGTTTGGGTTCAACTTTTTTGACTCACGCTGTACACCAAGCATGCCCCAATAATGCTCAGTAATGTTGTGCTTACTGTAAATATCAGACAGAAAGGATTTTTATTCTTACCATTTTTTGTTGGAGATAGGTTCTGAAGTCGTTCAGTTTCCCACTCTTGCGGTATATATGCTCCTGTTTCAACAATGACAACATATTTGATTAGTTGCTAGCTATACAACAAACGAGTAAATAATATTCTCCTCATATTCAACAAATCGACCTCAAGAACACAAGCACCATATTACCCGTCAGGGTTCGAACCCACAGACCGCGGCACATGAGTCAAACACCGTATCCATTTGACCACAGCATTGCACTTACGATGGTTCGTAAGTGCATCACAAGTCTGGTCACAACTCAATCACAAGTCCAGTCACAAGTCCAGTCACAAGCAAACAGGCATGTCTTTGTTGCAGTTCATTTGAACAGTTTGGGAGTTGACTTGCGACGAGATAACTTGTGATGACTTGTCTACAACACTGTCCAATGCAAGGCAATTAAGGCGGAGCCGTTCCGTCCTCAATTCTCCACCAAAATCTCTCCTGGTGGATTTTGAAAGATCTTCAAGGATTGCGGCACAATTCTCATGCAAATTTATGGAAGACATAAAATTATAATTTACTGATTTTAATAATATTTTGGGAGGCTAATCATCCTTACTCGCAGAGCAAAGGATGCAGCTATAACGTGGTAGAGCCAAAGGAATGCAAAGGCACCTATGGCAGATGCCATATTTATGACCACAGAGCCATCCAGAGATCGAAAGTGTTTGAGTTTTTACAGAGGGAGGAAAGCCGGAGGGCCCGGAGAAAAACCCTCGTGGCACAGGAGAGAACCAACGCACAACTCAACTCCCACATGTTCCGAGCCGGGAACGAACCAGGGCCACAGCGGTGAGAGGTGAGCGCTTCACACACTAGCCACCCATGCCACCCGTAAGAAGCAAAAGATGCTTACCATGATGGCGTAAATCTTCGGGTTCCCTGGGAAGTATTTCTCTGCCCGCTCGGCCCAGTACCGATGCCTCTCCGCGTCGTAGTCCTCCCTGCCCACACGGCAATACAGCTCAGCAACTGGAAAAAAGCATGCATATAACAATCAACTTTTTTGTCAGGGCCGTCTCATTTCATACCCGGACAAGTTGTGGGACATTGTATCGGGTATAAGCAGCAGGATTCTGAACAACTTCCCTGTAATCTTCCCGCAAATGAAGTTATCAGTATTGGTGAGTCAAGCAGTTGCTAATGAAAATTTCCCCCAGAACATGTACGGGACAAACGCAGAGCTTCTTCTGGACAAAGCAAATGATGTACAAGTCTTGTGGTTACAACTGAACATTTGACTTATCCCAACGTTAACAAAAGTTGAGTATAACCTTTAATTAATTGAAGTAATATTTGATATTGAGTCCTTAGCTCAGTTTGTGGGTGGAATACTGACATGACCAAGGACCAACCCTTATTTTTGTCGTATTAAAAATTTGGGAGGATTTTGTTGGCTGAAGAATGAGCGAACTTAGCCTGATTCTATATTTCCCCTTTTTTTATCTCAGTTTACACCTAACCTTTAAGGACCAGATCTTTCTGCATCTCGTTCAGCTCCAGGGCCCGCCGGTAGCTCTGGATGGCCTTCTTGACGTCCCCCAGGGCCTCATAGTTTTCCCCCAGGAGGCGGTGGGCCCTGACGTCGTTGGGCTTGACGGCGAGGTAATCCTGGACGTGATGGAGCGCGGTTCGGTACTCCTTGGCTTGGGTGTACAGGCTGGCAATGTGAAACCCTTTAAGTTGGATCTAGAGTGAAAAGAGATGGTTAGGTAAGTATAAAACCATACTAAAGGCTCCGTGAATGATGAAGTGAATCTTTCTGAGAAAATCTGGCGATCTTGACTCTACAGTACAGGCCCGGTTCCTATAAAGGAACAAAATCCACTTTTAAATTATTTGACCTACCAAACTAGTTGGCGACATTAAGAACATACAGGTATGTCATAGATAAAGGGCAGGGTTTTGAATTTTTGATTGAAATTTGGGGTAAAATGACGATGACAATGACAAAACGAAACACCAAAATAAAGATGGCGATCACCAAGCGATGTACCGTGAATGTGCAAGGCGCGCTGAATCGCACAGCACCAACTGTAAACCGCGCAGGAAAATCGTAATTTCTACCCCAAGAAACTGTTCACAAATTACAAAAAAGGTGTCATTAAATTGAGAGAAGTCTGCTCTTGCATGTCTAGGTTGAAAAGGTAATTTTTTTAGTAATAAAAAACACCCTTGACTCTAATTAGGCCTATCATCTCAATGATAGTCAGTTATTGCAAAAATTATAAGACATGTAGGCCTACTGCGAAACATTTCCAATTTTGGAAATACTTAGAAAATTTTGAAGTGGCGTCAGGTTGGAACATATTCTTTCCAAATTTTCTTGACTCTCCATAGTCTAGACTTTGCATTGCACATAACCGTCAAAGACAAGTGGCATATCTGGATACTACATTCTTTCCGACACTGCAAACATGGCGAATGTGGCGAAAGCCGCACAAGGAAATTAATTTGGTTAGAAAATTATACATTTTTACACCACGCACACACACACATAGACCCGTGAACGTGGCTATATACATAGCCACGCTTCAGTCTATAGTAAAAACACTCTATTGTGATCCGCGGGTACTAAGATGGAGTGACCGTTCTAGCCGAATTTCGGCTACATTTGACAGAATATTTGCATACAAAAATGAGTTGTACAGAAAATCAGCAGAATATTTTTTTCGGCAGAATTATGAAGATGAAGGAAAAATGAAAAAGATTAGAGAAATATGGCACATTTGGTTTGAAAAACCTTCATTTATTGAAAGATCCCTGAAACAAACCCTTGCACAATGGACCAGCAATTCTACTGGGTGATTTGACAGACTTTCGAAGTGGATTTAGCAGAATTTTATATGGTATTACGGTCAGCCTGCCATGTAAGACGGTTAGTCGGGTACCCACTGGTGCTACTCCAACCGTTTTGCACATGCGGAACTCGGGGTACCAGAGTGTCATGCCTGTCTTAGATTTCTGATCATTTTGAAACATTCGTTGTGACAAAGTTGTGCCGTGCTTTACATCAAATTTCTTGGCAATGACAGATCCAACACTCGCGTATATTCACAGGGAGCCCAACAAGTAAGTGATTCACCCATGGGCAAAATTATACATGTCGTTATGTAGCGGATCAAAAGATAGAATGCTGTCGCTTGTATTTACCCGAGGGAAGCGCGTGGCGTTGTATACAACGCCACGTTCACGGGTCTAACACACACACACACACCCACAGACATTTATAAAATAACAACAAAGTAGCATGAGTCCCAGAAACTATCCGAATTTTGGAAAACAAAAATTGACTTTGAGTTTGACATGACAGCTGACTGAATGGGTGTCGGAAATACACGTCCACTCTTGCCTTTTCATGCCAAATTATACATTTGCCGGTTTATCTCGTTAAATAAATGTTCATAACTTCGCATGACCTACCTCACGAGGATTCTTCGCTTTCTCTTTCACAGACTGGAGAAGTTTATCGGCATCTTCCTTCTTCCTACTCGTTTGGTTCATTTTGCCTAAAAATGTCCGGAAGATTTCAGTCACGACGAAACGGAGTGACACTGACAAGTCGACCAAGAATTTTCAAATCGGCGCATGTTCGTCATGAGGTCAACCCGGGGTCATCAACTGAATAATTCGTCTCGCAAGAGGGAGCCCTCGGCAAGACCAGTGAACTAATTTATTTTTGAGGAAAAAATATTGGAAAAGGGTCGGCTTGTTTGAAAAAGATGTTTGAATCACATTTACTTATTATAACTGGCGGGATGGCTTGATGAATTAATGAATGAAAAAGAACAAAAAAAGGATTTGTTAGTTGGTTGGTTCATGGAAGAAGGAAATAGACTATTCCTTGAGTTCCTCCATGGTGGGTTGGTTGGTCTGTTCACAAGATAACTCAAAAAGTTATGGACGGATTTGAATGAATTTCGTTTTAGGGGTGGTACTTGGTACAAGTACAAATCGAATAGTTTTGGAAGTGATCCGGATCTGGGTCTGGGATCAAGGCTTAAAAAAAAAAAGGATTCTTCGCCATTTATGTTAGTATTTCTTTTGGGTGTACTGACAATATGGCAGGGAATTGTTTAGCCTTGGCGGAGGTTTGCGCTCTCTGAGTGCTTTCTAGTTTTAACAGTTTTAGGCAAAAAAAAAAAAAAAATATTCGGTCTCTGGTCAAGTTCTGGAATTGACGCGGCGATGCGGCTTTTTTTTTTTTTTTGCTTTTTTTTCCCTTTTCTTCAAGCTTGGATTGTACAGACAAGGTGGGGTACTATTTTGCTTTTTTGGTGTCCTCATGTACATTGGTGTCCTCCATAATTTGCCTTGGTGCTTTCGATCATTTGCCTTGGTGCAATTTCCCATTCCTTGTTGCTCTTTGGTAAAAAAAAATGAGGAGGTGCGGCAATAGAGGGCGCTGTTGGAGCTACCGCGGAACATTTTGGAAAAAAAAAGATTGACGCGCATGATTAAAATCGACGCACGCGCTGACCAGAGACCGACTTATCTTTTTTTTTTGGCCTTAGTAAAAAAAAACCTGGTTGTATAATTTTTGATTGAGCTTTTGTTAATATTTTAAATTCTTAATCACCTTGATTTTTTTAATGCATTTTTTTGATTTTTTTTTTAAAGTTGAAACCAACAAGTCGACTGGGGGGGGGGGGGACCTGAACCTGCGATCTCCAGTTTGCGGTTCCAGTGCTCTGCCAACTGAGCCATTTTAGGAGTGAATCTCGAGGTCAAAGTGGGAGATAACTGTTTAGCCAATAAAAGAAGTAAACTGGCCGATCTAACAGTATGTCTGTCTCTCTCTTTCTCTCTGACCTAAATGGGATAACTTTTGGAGTTGTTCTGTGATTAACCATCAAGATCAAGAACAAGAACCCTTTAAAATGTCTTATGTGCCCTTTAAAACGTCAGATTATCATCACGAAGTACACGTTGTGCAAAAGAACACCCACAGGCCTTATCGTTGGTAACCGAACGTCATTCGGTACCACGTAAACAGGCACGCACCGAGGAGGGGACCCGCGCAAACCGAAGACGTCAAATGGATTCGCACATGCGTACTTAGTCGAAAATGGCTGTCGCCTGCTGCATAAACACAGAAAGTCGTCCAGAAAATGGCCAGATTTTTCACTTTTGAGGAAGATAAGGGTAAGCAAATTGCTATCTTAGCTTAGTTTCTGATATAGTTTGGCGTATCCATGTCGCTGACGAAGCTGTTATCCCCTGTGTTGTGTCGAACGTTGGTCTTTTGAAAAGTGAAACGTGTCACTTTCTACTTCTGCGGAGATGGAGTCCCGCGCACGTAGGCCTAGCAAAGACGTCCACCCGGCCTGCCGCCGTCCGGGCTGCAGCTGTTTAGGGGACCGTCGTTAAATCTATTCCGGTAGTGGTGCCTGGTGGTAGTACCTTCCTCCATGGTACAACTGTGGTATTCTCGTGGTGGCTGCTGTTTCCACCACGAAGAACAGCCCGTTTGGGAAATCATCTTTATTCCAATTCCATTTGTTAAACTGCCAATTCCAAGTGTTATTTTGCGAGGCATTTTGCGAGGTTGTTTGTTGATGTTATTTTTGTTTAGGCCTAGGGGCCCCTTGTAATAAGTTGTATTTTCTCACTGCCAGACTGCTCAAATTGACTTCGATGACATGAAATTGCTATCTGGGGGCTTGTTAGTTAATACAGAGGAAAATTAGTGAACTTCGTATATGGAAATCTTTCCAAATGACGATAAGACATGAATCTTGGACTGAGAAACACTTCCAATTTTGTTACGAAATACTTAGAACATTTTCTTGACTCTCCATAGACTTTGTACACAACCGCTGAAGTGGCGTCAGGTTGCAACATTCTTTCATTGTTGCAAGTTAAGTCAATCAAGTGTCGTTAATATAAATGGGAAGTGATAAACTGACAGGATTAAGTGGGATTGTCTCTTGCAATTTTCACACAAACACCAGCCAGCAATTCTGCCAATTGTTTAATGCGATCCTTTCATAACATGTGTAAACTGTAAAGTGCTGGAATGCTTTTTGTGTGTGTGAATATACACGTTAGTTCCCTAACGGTAATTTTTTTTCCAGAAGTAGAAATGCTCGTACCTAGTACTAGTACCAAGTTTTATATCTTTAAATAAACTATAATTTGATAATTTGCATAATCTTTTCGGGTACCAGTTGCTTATACCCAAAATCGAAGAGGAAGAAATCAAGATGATTTTACTTCTGTGTCATTTTTATTGAAAATAGCATCAACCAATTTTTTTCTCCAATAATTGGCAGCAACAAAAAAACCCAACTTAGCTGCTCGTATTAACTAAGCAGATAATATTATTGCAGTTGAAATCCATTCATATATTTGACCAAAACGAATAACCTTTTCCGGTTGTGCAATTATTACGCACACCGTATCTTTTATGTCACACTTGCAAACACAACCACAATTCACAAACATGTTTCACTAATCAAATGTGACACTGTGACAGTCTAGCCATTTCAGAAGACACTTGAAACTTCACATAATCAACTTTCAATTTTCAAAATGAAACTGGACTTGTATTGCAGTAATCTGCCGGCAATGTTGCACATTATTGTAATTCCTCCGTCATGATCTGGTTTTGTTTTGAACCATTTGATTGTTGCGGCAACTTGCGCATATCAGTTTCTAATTTAGCACTTGCAGATAGAGTTAAATAAAGTTCACTAAATATTCCACTCATTGACGGTTAAGCCAGGACTTCTGAAACTGTTGAAGGCCACATTATGTGTATAGCATTATCTCTGGTCTATAAATAGAGCCTTTTGATAGAGGTCAAGTTGTTAAACTTCTTCTGTATCCTGTATCGAAGCATATCCAAGTCTATGAGATTCTTGAGGTGCTCGTCTTCCGAAGCCTATTGGTCAAGGTGCGGATTGAAAAAGCGAACAGATGAGTAGTGGGCAGGGAAGTCATAACCAGCGGTTGTCTTAGTCATGGGACGGGAGGAATTGAACCTTGACCTTTGTGGGGGATTTCCAGACCGTGTGCTTAAGGAGTTTAGTACCACCTTGTAACAGTGGCCGTCACAGTGAAATTTGTATCAAAAGCTTTAAGACATTACTTGGTTCCACATTCCCTGCCATGTAGATCTTGTGTTGAGATATGCGGTTTGTACAAATGTGGTGCTATGTGGTATCAGATATAGTTTTTCAGTTTACATAATGATAATAATAATAATGACCCTGGATTGGAAATTGGGGAGACATCCCCATAGACTTGTGCGCAAAATTGTTCAAACTTAAATGTGCCCTAACTCAATATTCCCTTGTCCTTTTTCCGTGTATTTGGGTATGTATACTAATTAGACCATAAGCAACAAATATAATCTAATTGCGACGGCAAAATCGTGCCTCTAAAGGGGGGCTGTGACATTAGGGAGACGTGAAAATGTCTCCCTAATGACCGATGTCTCCCATCTTGCGAAGAAATTACGATAACGTGTCTCCTTAACCCTAACAGAACTCAACCCATCAAACCCCAACAGCATGTTTTGTTGGAATCTGTCGGGCTGGGTACTGTACCCCTAAACTGACAGTCTTTTACATTGGGTTGGCACACCTCCAGAAACAAAGTCAGAAATATGTGTGTACGGTTTCCCATATGGTGTTGGAATTTGCCAAGATGGGTATGGTTCCTAGTAAATCATGCTAGGGAGTTAGAGTTAATGGTACCTTTACTCGTATAATGTGGCGCTTATAACGCTAATATACCAAAGATCTCAAAGCACTTCACAATTATTACCCCTGCTCATTGCAGGCCATGAGACCATTTTTTTTATGCAGTAGCTCGAGATCAACGCAATCTGGTCTCTAACTCCACAGGTACCTAGTATAAATACTCCTGCGTGGAGAGCTAGGCAAATGTAGTAAAGTTTCTTACCCAAGAACACAAGCACAATGTCCCCCATCAGGGCTTGAACCGACATGCACTATGGCACATGATTTGAACACTAACCATCGGACCATGGCACACGCAGGTACATTGTGTGCTCTTCGGAGAAGCAGCGACACTCATGTGATTTTGTGAATGGTTGCACAAGAATGTTTATTATGTACACTCGAAGTAACACAGGCTTGTCGTTTGGATTTGAATTTAGTTGCTGGCCACAAACATAGGCAGGCCATGTTACCTCTCCACCCAGAAGTCAAAAGCTATTTAAGGCAGGCAATATATCAAACAATTTGTAGACCAGACGAAATAGACAATCCACTAGCAGACCAGTCGGCCAATAAAATGCAGACATTTCCCCCTCCACAAAAAACCCAAACAGATATATGTTCATCGGAAGTAGTCACTTCCTGTCTCAAACAACAGTTTCTGTCTTGTTACACAATTGTTCTCATACAGTACACGCATTTTCATGCAATGCATGACATAATTTTTAAATCTCAATGATGTGGTTCAGTGGATAAAGTGAGACTAGTCCATAAAAGTTAACGACTGTAACATAGGCAGCCAGGGCCATGAATATTGCATACAATTTCCTGCAAATTTACTACTAGACAGGAAATTATGTAAAAAAATAATTTATTACCATACCTTAGCGTCGTTCTGTCTGTCTGAGTGATGTCATTGTTTTGTGGTGATGGCGATAGCGTCAGTAAATTCTTGTTATTCAGTAACTTGCTCCTCCCCCCCCCCCCAAAGTTTTAATTAAAATATGAATTGTGTGCTTGAATTCCATTTTCCTACTCGGTTTTACTTGTTCCTTTGATTTTGAAAAACCTCATGAAGTTCCTCATGATTGTCTCAGATTTTTTTTTTTTGGGTAGCACCAATTATTGTTTCAATTTGGAAGTACATGTATGCATATTTTTGTCTTGTACAGTTTTTAATTTCCTTATTTTTTGCCAAGCTGGTCATTCCTTGTGCATACTTGTTGCTTCACACTACAAAGACATGTTTGTACACAGTAATGAAACCATTCCAGACTAGTTCGCCCGCTGCCCCCGTACAATTGCAATCATGTGAGTGTTTGTCATTACAAGTGCACCAGCCTGTGCCATCCCATCCGTACTCATAATCGCCAAATACATGTTAAAAAAAAAAAAAACCCGACCATATGGTGCCAGCATACAGTAACTGTGTACAAACCGCATGCATGGGTGTATACAGATAGGCTTTCTCCCATACTGAAGACACTGTGCCACTAATATTCTCCTCCCACTGCGTAGTCCAGCAGCCTGCCATATGTTGTCTCAATTTTTTTTATGTTGTCTCAATTTTCTGGTCTACAAGTGCTACTTAATTAATAAGTGGAGCTTTTGTGTGTGTGTTTTTTTGTTTTGTTTTTAGAAATGATGTTTTGTTGATCTTCGTAGTGATTTGCCATGATTTTGAAGCCTTGGTTTTTGGTTGAGAATTGCTAATTTAATGAACCCAATTTGCAACACTTTAATAGTGACTGTAGCGTAGGCACGTCTGGGCTTCTCACTTTTCCGCTGCATTTGTGTACATTAGCGGGAAAATTGTCCAGCTGGGCTGTGAAAATATACCTCGGGTTGTCCACAAGGTGTCTGAACGGCTCGGAGGTACAACCACTTAGAAAATTGACTAACACCTGCCTTTCTGGAGAAATTTTAAAAGATACAAATTCAATTTTTAATTATAATTTTTCCATATGTTGCATATTTTCCCGCCTTAACATGTAGTTCCCTCGAAAGTCTGCCCCTGTACGATACAGATTATGTGACAAGCCTGTTGATATATATATGCAAGACCATAACTCATCAATTATTTTTCTTGTTTCATTCACCCATAGCTGAACCATTGCGAATACTCCAAAATCCCGTTTCGCGACCATGGGCCGAGCTATGATATGATAATTCCCAGGTACTGCCGGTGAATATGTGGGAAGAGTCATACATTTTAATTTGTGGGAAGTTGGCTTGGCAAAAGGTTTATGATTTAGCGTTCGGTGTCGAGGGGCGTGGTTTAATTTTTTTTTTTTCACGAGAAAGACTTGGGCATTTGGCAAACATATGGTGTGTACTCCGCACAGAGTATATGGACTGCCTGTTGCTGTGCTTGCCAATCAAAAGTGTATCAGACACTAATGTGCGATAAAAATTCACAATTGATTTTTATAAATTTTACATCCGGTTGAGTCCTTT